GCCCTGCATACACTCCAGCTCCGCGGTCTGGGTCCTGGGCTAGTTTAAGCGGTAGCCTCTACAGCTGCTCTCTTTGACCCAAGTGTCTCCTGGGGAGGGGGCACCTGGTGCAAAAAGAGTGGGGCACATGCAGGCAACTTGCAGCTGAGGCGTGAGCCCAAAGGACCAGGGGAAAAGAGGTGGCAGGGAGAGAAGGCTCTGCCTGGGGTTAGGGAGGACAGGTAGACTGAAGGCACCGGAGTTGGGGGGGGGCACCCAGACATCTGCATCTGAAAGGGAGGGCGCTTCAAAGCCCACGACCCTCCTGCCCCACACCTGCTATGGGCGCAGAAAGAGCGACCTCCGTGAGCCGCGGCGAGTTAACTTCAACAACGTAGCCTCCGGCAGGCTCAGGAGCTCCCCCACCGACCCCCACACGCCGTCTGGGAGTGTCTACGCAGATGATGTGAAACACACCTTTCAGATCCGCAATGAATTTTAGGAATCGAAGGGAGGGATTTAAATATTTTGTTTCCGAATAATTCGCCCTTCCAGTCCTAAGATTCTACCTGAGCAGACAGGAATCCCCGCGTCCCCCAGAGGTGAGCCCATCCTCAGTTAATTTTTCAACATCCAGGGAAACTGAGCACAGCCCTCCCGGGCCCTGGGTTCCCGCGGCAAAGGATGCGGGTCCAGGCAGCCCTGGCCGAGCGCATCCCTCGGAGCCGCACGCACCGGGTCTGATGCGTCTTCCTCGGGAGCCAAGTATCCGGGCGGGATAAGGTCTGGGGGGAGGCAGTAAAGACCAGGGCTCTATCAACCCCCGCCAGGACGACGAGGTTTTGGCAAGGAGGCTGGCGTGCCGGGGCGAAGGCACCGCCAAGAGAAACGCTGTCACGGCCAGCAAGAGACTCCGAGTCCGCGTGGGACGAAAAGACGGCGCTCGGCAGCGACCGCAGCTCGGAGCTGGCGGCAGAGCGACGTTCAGAAAGCACCCGAGGGTGTCGGCGCGGAGTACAGCGGCAAGACACGCCAGAGACCGCCTCCCTCCCACCGCGGTCCGGAGTCTTCAGGCCTCCCCAGCGGCCGCCGCTCCGGGCGGCCGCGCTTGCTCGGCCAGGAAAGGAGGCGGTGCCGCTCCGCCCCGCGCCGCGCCGCGCCCACAAGCCGGCAGAAAAATCTCCTTCCCGAAACCAGAGCTGGGAACCTCCGTCCTCCTGCAGTCTCTCTCTGGGTTCGTGTCTACGCCGCCCTTAACAGAATTATTCCTCTCCAAGCGTCCAGGCGACACCGAATACCCAAACAGGCGAAGCGCTTTGGAGTCTGGATTACCCTATCGGAGCAGCGCGCCCACCTCTAACGCTCTTTCCGTTTCTCCCGAAACCTCCAGCGCCAGACCCAGGGACAGACGTAGGCTGGGTCTCCCCAATCCGGGGTGGCCCTCCGGCACGCCTCCCCAGGCCCCAGCCCAGACAACCTTCGGAGTCGCACATTGGAAGAATTTGGGCGCAACTCCGAGCTCGCCTCGCTTCCCTTGGGCGGGACACGCGGGATTCAGAGTAAACTCCGAATTCGGTCCGTAAAGACGCGGGGCCGAGCCGCCGCGTCCCTCCTCCCCCTAAGTCCGAGACCTTCCAAGGCACGCTCCGCACTCGATGGCTTTTCTCCCTTTCTCTCGCGGGGTCCCTCGTTTCAACGGCGTCGGCGCCTTTATTCGCCTGACCCTGCGCGCAGGAAAACCCGCCTGGTCGGTCATTGTCTGGTCCGCAACTGCCCCCGCCCCCGGCCCAATCAGTGTCACAAAACGCCCCTTTCAACAGATTCCAAACCCTCTTCACCCGGGCGCACCGAGCCTTCAACTTCATTAAGTGCGCGCTGCGGCGGCGCTGGAGGAGGCGAAGTTTAAATAAACCGGAGCGGAGAGCGAGCAGGGGTGGGCCTGGGAGGGCTGCTGGTTGAAGGGGTGGGGGAGAAAGAAGTGTTTTTGAAAAGGGGGAAAAAAAGCCTGGAGGGGGGAGCGCTTTGTAACCACGAAGACGCACCCGCGGTGGCGAGCACAAATTGGATACGGAGGGGAAGTGTCCGCCCCCATCTCAACTCCGGCTCCTGGGTGGTCCGGGGAGCCCCTGGAGAAAGAAAGAAAGATGTGGAGGAATAGGCGGTGAAAAGAATTAACCGCTTTAATTGGGCTGCACGAGACGAGCGCGGAGAGGCGCACCGAGGTGCTTCCGTCACCCCAACCGAATGCCCTTCCATAAAATAAAATGTCTGCCCCTGGCCACGGCTGCAAAACGCACGTCACGGTTGGAGCACCGCGATTGTCCTCAGCCGTGGAGTAAATCCTCGAGATCGGGGAATTCTTCCCGGAAAGGCTCCCTCCCCCTCCTGTGGCCTCGGGCCTCCCGGCGCCGGATGAAAAGGAATGAAATTGAACGAAATTGAACGAAATGAAGTGAAATTGACCAGCGAAATTCGCCAATTTTCTTCCCCTTTAAACTGCCCGCTCTGAGCAGCACTCTCGGAGCCCCGGACCGATTTCTTGCCCTTTTTTTTCTTTCTTTCTTTCTCACCTCGGAGATGAAGGTGTGCCCTGGGTAGTTTCTGATTATTGCTACCGATTGTTGGGGCTTGCTTGGGCAGAAACTCCGCTGCCTCCACGGGAGCTCAGAGGGGATGGCCCAGTTTCTCCCCAGGAGGATGGGCTCCCTTAAGGAGTGAGCCCCCTTAAACTTAGCACCGAGTCCTCTACGCACAAACCCTGAGCCCCTCCAGTCTAGAAGGGGGTGGGGCAGCCAGGGAGACTCTACCCTTTCCTAAGAGGTTCCCCTGGAGGACAACCTTAGGAAGTTAAGAATGTCAAACGCCATCCCTTCTCCCTGCCCTTGTCCCTGCAGCCTCTGGGGCTCCCTCAGTAACTCTCTTCCCCCGTACTTTTGTTGAAGCCTTTGGGCATTAACAGCTTCTCTCTGACCACCCCCCCTCCCCAGCTGTGATCGTCTCTGGCTCGGTTCTGACCTTCTGGAACCACTGAGACATTGGGGTCCGAGTCGTGGATCTGGGCTCCTGAAACCCCTAGAAGCCCCTGTGAGAGGGGCTCTCACTCTTTCCCCAGTCCTCTTTTTTCTATCTTGCCCTGGTACGCATCCTCCAACACACACAGGCAGATGCCAAGCAGTGTGTTCAGATGCATTCGCACGCGGAACGTGCACGCGCACACATCTTCACAGGCACAGTGAGAAGCCCACGCAGCACACAGCAATTGTGCAAGTATCTTGTCTGCCCACTATCAGATAGGAATCCTGGCTGACTTCATTCGCTCTCTTCTGCAGAGAAATGATCCATCTTTTCTCCAAACGGTCGATCTTTTACGTAAAGCTCCAACCTAAGGTCTAGGAGTGACATTTGCACGGTTAACTGAGGTCACAAAGCTGCAAAAGGCTTTATGGCCAGCACCCCTGTGCACACGCCCACGTCAACATGGTTACCTCCAGTCTTCCTCCAACAAGAAACGAAATCTAACTCAGAGCCAGGACTTCAGGCAAGCAGCCACTGGCGCCAGTAGACACTCGCCACCCCTCACCTTTGAACCTAACCCCACCTGGACCACTGGACACAATGGTGGGAAGGTGGCCCCCTGCCTTCGACCTCCCTCCACTCCTGCTCTCTCAACAAGATGGAGGACAGGGGCACCCCTCCTCTGGCAGGGGAACTGCATTTCCTAGTGCACCTCCAACCTCAGCTCTCTCCCCTGGGGGAAGAGGATGAGAGACTCTGTAGCCCCAACAAGCCTACCCCAGCTCCAGTGCCTTCTCCCCAGCCTCATCCCGATTCGGGTCCTCTTCCTGCACAGGCCTCTGTCCTCAACCGAGTCCTTCCTTCCTACAGCCCGCTAGCCACTGACGTCCCGGTGTGAGAGGCCCGAGGGGCTTCTCTGCCCGCCCAGCAAGCTCTCTGCACCTGGGTCTCTGCCCCCTTCCCCGTGTGTCACTCCGTCTTTCAAGCCTTGCTCTCCACAGGTGCTGGAGGCTGAACTGCCTCACCCTGCACCTCCACGCTTCTGCTCTCCTATGACCTCGGTGGCACGCAGAGAGAGAGAACTAAGCAACCATGTTTGCTTCCCCCAAAGCAGCACCTTCACCCCAAAACAGCAGGTCTGGCCCCTGGGAGACAGGGCACAGGCAGAGCGGGGAGGCTCCACAGGCTGGTGCAGGCTCCAACCAGGACAATGGACGTGCACCCGAGCAGTTTTCCAGTGAGGAGCACAGCTCCAGGGACTGGGTGGTGTCTCCCAGCAGAGTGAGACCTCACCGGCAGCCACTGTACACCTGCACTCCTCTCGGGCCGGAGGGAGGTTTCCCAGAGCCCAGTTCATGCCCTTCCCTCCACATGTGGGGGCAGGGGACTTCCAGAGGCCCCCCCCCAGCGGTCAGAGAAATCTCTGTCCCCTCCGAGACAGACAGCGATGGAGAGTTCCAAGCACGTGCACAGAGAAATAAAAACGCAGGTGTGCTACGATACAGGAAGAAAGTCGAAAAGCAAGGATTCGTGCTGACTCAAACACAAGAACAAACCAGCAGCTGCATAAAAAGCCCTGCACACAGAAACCCAGAGAACAGGCAACAAGACGGCTTCACCTCCGACCACCTCTAGCAAGCACAGTGTTCAAGAGCCCTTCAAACCCAGATCTGCCCAGGCCAGCCTCAGAGCTCAACCAGACAGAGAAGAGAAGCCTCAGGTGCATCTGGAACAGAATCCTGCCCAAGCTCAGGCAAAATATCCCTTCCAGGACCAGAGTGAAAATGAAACTGCTACACGGGTCACAGCCTTCCCAGTGACCTGGCCCCACCAGCACCTGAAGGCCAAGGCCACAGGGCCCCCCAGAGATCTGATGAGCCCCAGCCCTCCTCCATCTGCCTGGGCCTCCCAGCGGCCTGCGCCGCACTCCCCCTCTGCTGGGAGCCTGGGGTCTTCCAGGAGAGCCGCCCGGGAGCAGCGAGGGCAGCAAGCACACAGCTGGTGACTGCGGAGGTTCACAGACATTTATTCAATTGACACCAATGGGAAGTCTGGGGGGTGGGGGTGGGAATCAGATTTTTCTTTTCTTCCACACAAACCATCAGACGATTTCACAATCTCCTTGGAGTGGAGAAGTCTAAATCGATGCACAGCCAGTGGACAGGGAAGGCAGAGAGCAGCTGGCTGTACAGGTATTTACAGTAATTACAGGACCCCCTGCCACCCACCTCTCCCACCCATCCTCATTGCCTTTAGCTACAATAAATACGGCAGGGCCTGGGCCCGAGCAGGACGCCGGGAGAGAGCCGCCGGCCCTGGATGGCTGGACCCAGCCGGCCACCGGGAAGGGGCAAGTTCCTCTAAAAAGCACCCGAACAAAAGAGAAAGGATTTTCCTCAGTGGGCTGGGCTCTGGGTTCCTGCCGGGATTGTGCAGACCCCTGCTTCACCTCTGCGTTCAGCTTCGCTGGTGTAGACACTGCTTTGGGCTTCAGAGAGAGCGAACTTCCTTGGAGAACAGCAAGAAAAAAAAAGTTGAATTTTTCTCTTAAGCACGGAGCCGAACTAGACGTCTTTAAATTATAAAACCGGACAGGCAGGGTCTGAAAGTTGAGCTTTCAGGACGCAGGGCGAGCAGAAGGGGAGAGCTCCCTCCCGGCGAGGTGGCTGCTTCTGGCGGGCCCGCGGGCCCCGGCGGCGGCGAGGCTCGGAGCGAGGGAAGCTCAGGCTCCCCGCTTGCCCTGCTCACACCGCAGTGGCACGGTGGCCGCGGCCTCGGCGTGGCGCCCGCGTGGCCCCAGCGCTCGGCGAAGCTCTGAGCGTGCAGCGTCGAGTGCCAGGTCGCGCGTGCTGCCCCCTGGCCCGGGGACCCTTCATAAATAAGACTCCCTGAGTTCCGCTGGGACCGCAGGAGCTCCAGGGAGGGGCTGAGGAGTGCGGGCCTACCTGGCCCGGAGCCCGCCGCGGTCAGAAGTGGCAGCCACTGAGGCCGGCGACTTTGCCGGTGAACGGGGGCGCTGAGGACAGGAGCGCGTCCCCGGGGTGCGAGAGGCGGATGTGGCCGGCCACCGGAGCCAAGGCCGGGGCAGTCAGCATGGCCAGGACCTGGGCTGGGCCCCCGGGACCCGCGGCGGCCGCGAACGGCGACACCGGGGAGCCCTCGCCGCCTCCCGGGGGCGCTGCCCCGCCGCCACCGTGGCCCATGATATGGTCTATGGAGAAGGAAGGCCTCTGCCCGGCTCCTGCGCCCGCGCCGCCCGCACCGCCCGCGTCCGTCTTGAGGCCCTGGCGCAGGAGTGCGGAGGATAGGCCCGCCGCGGTGCCGGCGGCGGGAGGGCTTAGGGACGCGGGGTAGAAGGCTTTAGCGCAGCCCAGCTCCGCGCCCAGAAAAGCGGGCAGGCCTGCGGGGCCGGGGCCCGACCCCGGGGCGGGCGCGGGGGCCGGAGCCGAGGCCGCGCCCGCGAACACCGAGGCTGTCGGAGGTCCGGGTGGAGGCGCAGCGGCGGCGCGGCCCGCGGGGACCGACAGCTGGCACGGGGCGGCCGCGGCGAAAGCGAAGGCGTGCGGGTGCGGGTGCGGGGCTGGCCCCGGGGGCGGCGCGCCGTAGGCTGGGAGTGCCAGCCCGTAGCCGTAGCCGTAGGCGCCGTAGGCGGCGAAGCCCGGCAGGAAGGCGCCGGGGTCGCCCGCCGCGGCGGCCCCGCCACGCAGCAGCAGCTCGGGGTGCGGGTGCGGGTGTGGGTGCGGCGGTGGCAGCGGCTGCCGCTTGAAGCGCTTGCGGCGCCGCAGGAAGCTGCCGTTGTCGAACATGTCGGCCGACTCCGGGTCGAGCGTCCAGTAGTTGCCCTTGCCCGGGTTGCCCGGCTCGCGGGGGATCTTGACGAAGCAGTCGTTGAGCGAGAGGTTGTGGCGGATGCTGTTCTGCCAGGCGGGGAACTTCTCCCGGTAGTAGGGGAAGCGGCCGCTGATGAACTCGCAGATCTCGCTCAGCGTCAGCCGCTTCTTGGGGCTCTGCAGGATGGCCATGGTGATGAGCGCGATGTACGAGTAGGGCGGCTTCACCAGCGGGCTCCGCGTCGCCGCGCCCCCCGACGGCGGCGGTCCCGGCCCGGGCCCCGCCGCGCCCCGGGCCGCCGTCGCCGCCGCCGCCGCCGCCGCGCCCGGCCCTGGGCTTCCAGCGGCGGCCGCCGCCCCCCGGGGCGCTAGAGCGCGGGGCTCGCCGTCCGAGTAGCCACCCGACTCCTCCTCGTCCTCCGCGACGTCTGCCTCGGCTTCCTCCGGGGGAGGCTTGTGGCCGTGGGGGAGCACGTCCCGGGGGGCGCGGGGCCCGGAGCGGGCTGAGAGCTCCCCCCCGCCGCCGCCGCCGCCGCCCACCACGTCTATGTCTGCGTCGGCCTCGGACAGCGCGGCCGGGGAGCTCTCGGAGGACATGATCTCGCAGCAGCAGCTGCCCAGGGTCATGGTGCCGCCGCCGCCGCCGCTCTCCGGCTCCGCTCCGGCCGCGGCTCGGGCTCGGCCGCGCTGCCTCTGGGGCGAGAGTGTTTTGCGCGCGGGCGGGGAGGGGGCGGGGGACTGAGGCGGGCAGGGAGGGGTGTCCCCCAGCTCCGCAGCGCCCCCTGGTGGCCCAGCCGGGCGGCTCCCGCGGCCCGGTGCGTAGCCAGCCCGCGCGGCTCCCCCTGCGCAGTCCCGGGAGCCGCCTCTGGAACCTGCACCCGGGGCGCGGGCGGAAGGAGCCGAGGGCCTCGCCTTACCCTGACGGGTCTCAGCTCCCCGTGCCCCGGGTGGGAGTGGGGGGTTAGTCCCTCCCGCCTAGCGGCTGCCTAAGGCGGAAGAGCCGCGGGCCGGGGCGGAGCTCCTGGGGCGGGGCGGGGTGGGGAGGGGCGGGGCGGGCGCCGAGTGCCTGAGCGCCGGGGCCCGGCGGGAACAAACCGCGGCCGCGGCGGGAGCTGTGCTGGGGTGGCCGGAGGCGGGTCCTCCTGTGGTTCCCGCACCTCCCGCACCTCCCTGGAGCCGCCTCCTTCAGTGCGCTCAGCTCTTGGATGTGAAGGCTCACGCAGGAACCAGCCCGGAGCCCGGAGAAGTGGCGACAGCCTCTTCCCGCGGCGACGCCCAGGCCACCAAGGCCGGAGCGCACTTGGAACGCGAGCGGGAGCCTGAGACGCCCGGACCAACGTCTCAGAGCTGGGCCCTACGCAGCCTGCGAAGTTTCCGGCCCATGGGACGGACGCGCCCGAATGGTCGAGAGGAGCAAACTTGGCGCTCGCACACTCAGAGAGGTGAGAGATTCGCACCGAGCCCCTGCCTCCCCTCCAGGGCGGGGCCAGCCGGGCATCCCCGCGCAGCGGGACTCCGCGACGCGCACCCCTGCTCCGGGTCCCGGTCCCGAGGCCTCTAGGCGGCTCGGGGCCGCCGTCTCGGACGCGGGCCGGGCTGGCGCTCGGGGTTTACCCGGGGCTCCGACCCTTGTGAGTCCCGGGATCCGCCCGTCTCAGTCTCTGTGACCGCGTCTCTTACGCTCCGTGACGTTGTCGACATTCTGCATGTGAGTGTCCTGGGTCCGTTTTCCTCTCTCTGCAACCCCAGCCTTGCTGAGACCTGCCCCCGCCCCGCTTTCTGGCCGCGGGACCTGCAGGCGCCCCACGGAGACTTCACGCCCTGAAGCCTGCACTCAGCCGCAGACGGGGGTCCCTCTAGCGCTCAGGGTCGTGGGCACCCAGGGTTACTCCTGTGCGCTCTTTCTCGCCAGCCACGTTCCTGCCCACGCGGTTTGACCCATTCTTCCCAAGGTCCCCTCCAGGACTCCGACGCGAGTGGCTTCAGGCCAGACTGGGCCCGTTTCAGCCTAGAGCGTGGAAGGGGCGACGGGCTTTGCCAGGGGGCGAGAACCGAGCGAACTGCGGCGCCGCTGCCCCGACAGCGCCGCTCAGTGGCCAGAGATCCGGCGCGGCCCGAGTCCCCGCGGCGCTCGCTGTCACAGGGCTGCGTGAGCGTCCTTGGGGTACCTTCCCTTCCGAACCTCAGTCAGGCTCGTGGGGTCGCACCCTTGTCCTCACTACTTACTCTAGCCTTCATCTTGGAGGAGTTTCCTAAACGCTGCTCCCCTCTTCTCTGCACAAATGAGAGTAAAAACACCTCCCACGTGACTACTGCGTTAAAGCTAGTTGTATTCGGAGCTGTTTAGGAAGAGGACATTGGGAGCGCACCCTGCAGAGCCCAGGCCCCCTAGGGGGTTAGGGCTGATGGCACCTGCCACCAGGAGCTCGGGCCCTGGTTGCATGGCCTCTGCCAGCCGCCTCCAGCGCCCAGAGCAGGTGAGAGGAAATTCACATCCTGCAGCCCAGGGTGGGCACGAGGGTGGATGGATTCCAGTGTGGAATAGCCTAGTGTGAATCCAACTTGGAGGCCCAGAGAAGAGGGTGAAAGGCCCTACCTCTGCTTGTACAAGATACAGCAGGGGCGGGCCACACCCCAAGCTGAGAGCCCGCAGGTGGTGGCTGGACCCCCACCCCCCACCCCCACAGCCTCTGACCACAAGGGCCGATAGTCCTCCACTGGGGAGAATTTTCCCACAGGATTCCACATACACACACATACCTGAGCTTGTGGCATGTGGCAGATGGGTGCTGTCTGGCATCCCGGGGATCCCTCCGGCTTTCACGGTACTACATGGAACTCTTTCTCACGCTCCTGGGATCCTGCTCGCAGACACCCCACACCGTGGACCACACACCAACTGCAGCCCAGCACGGCTCCGCTAGTGTCTGAGTTACGGAGAGAAAGCGAGCATGGTCCCTGCCACCCGGTGTCCCGGTGTCCCCTCCGGGGAGTCCTCATTTCTGACATGCTGGACGGGAGCCCACACTGCCTTCCTCGCCAGCACTCTTGGTCCCCAGGCTCCAGCTCTCCAGCTGGCTTCAAGGTAAGCCACTCTTCCAGCCGCTGCTCCGACCTGGTCCAGCTGAGCAGCCCAGGCTGTGTTCTGCAGGGCTGGGACTGGGCCCCGTGTGAAGGGATCATCCATCACCCTTTACACACGCTCGCAGGAGTGGAAACTGAGACCCCTGCGATCGTGTTGCTTGGCAGGCTTTTGAGGGGATGCAGGTGGCTAAGCCCCAGGCCCAGAATTAGTAGCCGGCCCTGCTGGCGCAGCACCACTGCCTGGTGCGAGGGGTTTCTGGTGGCCTCCCCATCATCTCTCCCAAGGCCCCGGGGCCAGCTTGTTTTAAACAACGCCGGGGGATGCACACTGGGGCTGGCGGGAGGCCACTTTGGGGCTCCTTTCCTTTGCTTCCTCTGCACCCTCCTCCTCTCTGCAGTGTTGAGGCGGGTGTGCAGCTGTGGTGAGTCGGTAGCTCCTGGGGGGAAGCTGGGCTCCAGCACCCACTCCTACAGCGCCTGCGAGGAGCCGAGGCTGCAGGCTCTGCGGGTCACAGTGCCCGGCCTCCTCCCCAGAGCGGCCCAGAGTAATCGGGAGGAAGGCTTTGGGGAAGGGGGCGGCTGTTGCATGCTCCTGCCCAGCCTGTCAGCGGGGGTGGCCTCCGTTGCCTGTTACCCTCTGAGAGCCCCCAGTAGACCAGTAAACGTGCTGTTATCCGCTCGGCAGAGGCAGCGCCCTCCACGCAGATGTTTTAAGTCGGTTGGGAAACTGACCAAGAGCAGCCTGGCTGGCTCGGGACTTTGTCACAGAGTCGCAAGGCTGAACGAACGAAGCGGGCTTTCGAGGCCCGGATCTCGGTGAATGCCTGAGCCTGCCCATGGGCGCAGCCTGGCTGCCCCGGGAAGCCAGAGTGCAGCACGGGGCACTACCCAGCACACGGCTGCAATCTTGCTACACGAACCAACCAACCGCCCAGCCTCCACCAGTGCGGTGGGGCCAACCCTGCCTAAGCCCTCTGGGACACACAGCTCTGGGGCGACCAGTGGCAGCCCGCACACCTTCCGCCCCCGTCCCAGCTCCCGTCATCGCCGGCTCCAGCGTGGTCAGCTCACTGGGCCAGGTGCAAGGCGGGAGCCTCTGGAGCGCGCGACCTGCAGGGAAGGCTCTCGGGCGTCCGGGTTCCCCGGACAGGGAATTCAGGGGCTGCAGCCCGTGCGATCTTCTCTAATGCACCCACCTGCCCACCCCTGGACGCCTTTGCCTTCCTCCACACCTAGGAGTTTTCGTCTTCCGCTCCTTTCACTATGCCGGGCAGCCTCCCACAGTCCCGTTTACCCCACCCCAGCGCGAACCACGTGGAGGACCCGCGTGAGCTCCCTGCGGCCCCGAGCGCGGCGGTTGGAGTGGAGCGAGCTGTGGAGCCGCCGACTCCGTTTCGCGGGAAGAGGGCTGCACGCTCAGGAAAGGGGAAACAGCGCCGCTCCCACACCCCGGGCCGCGGGCGCCCCTTGGCCGACTCGCGGAGTTCGCAGCGACAGTGGTAGGGCAGGCGCCTCCCGTTGGAGGGCAGCGAAGCGGCCAGGCCAGGGGAGCGGGGCCTCTGGGCGAAGTGCGCCCTTGCGGGTCCCTCGTTCCTTGATCCCAGGGTCTGCTTCTCTGTCCGTGTGTCCGACTGCCCTGCGGGCGCCGGTGGCCCTGTGTGGCCCACTCTGCATGTCCTGTCCTTGCCTCTGGGTGTCACACCGTGTGCTTGCAGAACCGCAATGACGGGGACGTCCCTGGAAGGCTCGCCATCCAGGTCAACGGCTTCCCCCAGAGCCTGCAGCGGAGAGACCTGGTCGGGGCCTGCAAGCTCACTTGGGGCGGCAGCGAGACCCCGGCCCGCAAGGAGAGTGAGCGCGCGCGCGCGCCTGGGTGGTCTCCGGGGACGCCAGCTGGGAGAGGGAGGAGCACGTTCCGTTATGGAGCTGCGGGAGGGCGCGGCGGCCTTCTTCCTGCCGCTTGTGCGTGTTTGCTCCAGCGGCCGCAGCTCCGGCACAGGGGCGGCTGTCCTGGGCTCCGAGTTGGGGCCACCAGCCGGGTCCTCCCGTGCACCCTACGCGTGTACCCCACGCACACCAGCGCGCGTCCGCCTTTAACCCAGACAGGGAAACTGGCGAGGCCATACGTGCCCGCGAGGGCAGGGAAATACCGCCGGGTTCTGGCGTCCTCTGGGCTGGATGAGGAGCCGCCTAAAGCCTCGAGAAGCCCGGCGGGAGCCCGGGCCGGATTCCTGGGGAACAGCGACCTCTGGAGGAGTCTCGCATCCCCGCAAGGAATCAGGAACTAGGGGACCAGGGCTCAGCCCACGGTCGCCCCACGCCCTGGACCCAGTCGTCAGGACTCGGGATCTCCGGTCTCCTCTTCGCTCACCTTTGCATCCTTTTCCAGTCTGTGCCCATGCTTCAAATCCTGCCTCCCCCGGAAAGATGCTTTCTCTCCCAACCTTGCCCCTTCCTGCTCAGAGCTCCTCTGAGCCTTGGACTCCCGGGGTTGCCCACCACGCTGCACAGTCGCCCTGCTTCCGGCCTCGCCTTTCTCCAGAGAGACCTTGGCGCACACCTTTCTCCAGAGAGACCTTGGCACACGCCGTCAGCCCCTTGGAGCACATGCCAAGTGTGCCGCCCACGCGCCTCTCCCTCCCTGGAGAAGTCTGAAGTCATTTCCCCCACACCGGGACAGGAGGTTTTCAAAGCCTGTTTCTCAGAAGGGGAGACGGAGCCAGAGAGGGCTGACCTCCCCAAGGTCACAGCAGATGGGTAGAGTGGTGGAAGTGGACCCCTAGTACCAGGTGTCCCAGCCCCAGCCGCTCCATCTCACACGGATTCGGGGCAGGGCTTATTTTGCTGGAGGAGACCTAGGTGGGGACGTTCTGCCCCAGTAAGGGACAGCCAGAAAGGCAGAGGCAAAAGCTGTGGGGGAGGCGGGACACTTGCTTCCCCAGCTGCTGCCCAAATCAACATACTCTGAGTGGTTCCGAATGCCAGGACTTGGCTGACTGTCCTAGGTTAAGGAGGAGGTGGGGCTGAAGGTGAGGAACACAAAAATACCAGCCTCCTCCCACAACTCCCCCACCACTGAGGGGCTGAGAGGCTGAAATGCCTCTGGGGCTAGTGCACATCTGCACCTGCGTCTGAAAATAGGAGGCCTTCCGGTGCTTGTAACTCGAGAGGGGGGAGCTGGGAAGGTGCTTGGCAGGAGGCCCCTGAGACACCTGCCCCCCTGAGACACCTGCCCTGCCCTTGGAGGGCTGCTTCACCTTCTGTAGAAGACACCCGGGGGCCTCACCTCTGCCTCCTCGTCCAGCCTCACCTCCGTTCCTGGTGCATCCTTTCTCACCTCACCTTTGCCCATGGCTCCTGCTCCCCTACCTCACTCAGGCCTTGTCCTTCTTGGTCCATTTCTTAAGTCAGATCTAATGAGCTGCTTCCCATGGCAACACCCACGGCTCCCACCCCCGGGCCCCTAAAGTAATGGGTTTGTTTTCCAGCCTGTCCTCTGTGGGCTGCTGGAGCTCATTGGGAACGGGAATTGTATTGTCTTCATGCTCATCTTTCCTTCTCTACAAAATGAGGGTAATAATTGGACCCACTTCATTGCCTAGTGCCTAAAAGTTTTAAAGGGCTCCATATGTGTTCCATAGCATTATTTTTTTTATTTTTATTTTATTTTTTTTATTTTTTGGACAGGCAGAGTGGACAGTGAGAGAGAGAGACAGAGAGAAAGTTCTTCCTTTGCCGTTGGTTCACCCTCCAATGACTGCTGCGGCCGGCGCACCGCGCTGATCCGATGGCAGGAGCCAGGTACTTCTCCTGGTCTCCCATGGGGTGCAGGGCCCAAGCACTTGGGCCATCCTCCACTGCACTCCCTGGCCACAGCAGAGAGCTGGCCTGGAAGTGGGGCAACCGGGACAGAATCCAGCACCCCGACCGGGACTAGAACCCGGTGTGCCGGCGCTGCAAGGTGGAGGATTAGCCTAGTGAGCCGTGGCGCCAGCCTGTTCCATACCATTATTAACCATTATATCTGCTGCCAGGCATAAAGCCCAGCATACAATAGGTGCCCAACTAATGTTAGCTATATGGATGCATGAATAAAAAATATAAGTGAACCATGTGGCATAGCTCTGTTTTTGTCTGAGACTGCCCAGAGAGCTAGCTCAGATCATCATGGAAGTGTTCCTGACAGTGGAAGTACTCTTCTGTCAGCTCCCTGTCCCTGGTCAGAACTTGCTTCCCTTGTGTCTGTGGGCCCTGGCCCTGGCCCTGGCTAGCATTGGGTTTCTATTTTGTGCTCTCTGTCTATCCATTCCAGCTTCCTCCTGATGCACAGCCTGGGAGGCAGCAGATGATAGCTCAAATACTTGGGTCCCTGCCACCTATGTGGGAGACTCAGATTGAGTTCCTAGCCCCTGGCTGTTGTGAGCATTTAGGGAGTGAAGCCAGCAGATGGGGGAATCTCTCTCTCTCTCTCTCTCTCTCTCTCTCTCTCTCTCTCTCTCTCTCTCTTCCCCTCTCCCTCTCTCCCTCTCTCCCTCTCTCCCTCCCCCCCTTTCTCTCTGTCTCTGAGTCTCTCTGTCTCTGCCCCACTCCTCTGTGTTTCAAACAGAAAAATCGCATTTTTAAAATAGTTGTGGCAAAATAAAGCAAGTGCCAGACTGAGACCTGGAAAAATCTCCCAGGTGCTCCCCACTTGTTGTAAAGACACAACTCCATCTCTTTTGCGTGGTGAGCGGAACATATGTGCAGTTTGGGGTGTCCCAGCTCTCTGTTGAAGGAAACCTCCCCTCTGCTATTCCGAGCCGTTCTGACGGGGCTGTCCAGTCTCTGTCCCCCTCACACTCCCAGGAGCAGAGGGGTAGCATGGCTGGGTCAAACCTAGCTTTCCAAGTCCAGGGCCCAGCGATTGTCCCAGGCGGGAGCGAGTGACCTCAGCCCTGCAAGACACTGCTTCCACGTGAACAGATACTCTGATACACGGACTCTGGGAGTTGGCGCTAATTAAACGATGGGGTTCTGGGCCAGCCCCTTTCGGGCCACGTCATCACCAGGGAACACTGAAGCCCACACACAGAGGCAAACACCCTAACTAGAGACGCCTGAGTTCCTGGATCCAGTTCTGCCTGAAACTAGAGCTCTTAGCCTTTGTAGGCATTCCAAAGAAAGAAGGCTCCCCTTTTGCTAAACTAGCTTGAGTTAAATTTCACAAACAGCAGAGCCACAAGAGAGAAGGATTCTGGGTGCCCGAGACCACCAGACTGCGGTACCACCCTGAACTGCCGGCATAGGCTTATGTGAAAAGGAAATGAGCTTCGACCTTGTGTAAGCCACTGATGTGGGATTTGGAGGGGCAGCCTGTCACTCACAACTGAACCTAACCTTAACAGGAAGTGATGGGAAAATGTCCCATGGGAGCAGGCGCCGTGGCACAGTGGGTTAAGCTGATGCCTGCGATGCTGGCATCTGATAATGGAGTCTTGGCAGCTGCTCTACTTGCTATCCAGCTACCTGCCATTGCGCCTGGGAAAGTGGTGGAAGATGGCCCGAGTGTTCAGGCCCCTGCCACCCACGAGGGAGACCCAGATGGAGTTTCTGGCTCTTGGCTTCAGCCTCGCCCAGCCCTGGCCAGTGCAACTGTTTGGGGAGTGAACCAGCAGATGGAAGATATTTTTCTGTCTCTCCCTCTCTGTGTGTGTCACTCTGCCTTTCAAATAAAATAAAATGACCACCAAGAGGTCAGTAGTTGAGTCAGCCTGGAGAGTAAAGGGTTGACACAGCTGCCATCTCTCTCTCTCTCTTTTTTTTTTTTTTTTTGATTTATTTATTTACTTAAAAGAGTTACACACAGAGAGAGAGAGAGAGAGAGAGAGGTCTTCCATCTGATGGTTCACTCCCCAGTTGGCCACAGCAGCTGTAGCTGAGCTGATCAGGAGATTTTTGTGGGTCTCCCACGTGGGTGCAGGGGCCCAAAGACTTGGGCCATCTTCCACTGCTTTCCCAGGCCATAGCAGAGAGCTGGTTCAGAAGTAGAGCAGCCGGGACTCGATATGGGATGCCGGCACTGGAGGTGGCGGTTTTACCCGCCATGCCACAGTGCTGGCCCCACAGCTGCCATCTCCAAACAGGCCTGACCTGGGTCAGAGACCAAAGCCAAAGGGAGCCAGGAAGTTGTAAAGAGAGCCGGTTTCTGTGACCTCACAAAAGAAACACCTTCCCACAGGACAGTCCCTGGAGAGGCAAGAGGTGACCTTGATGGTAGTGAGCCCTCTGACATGGCGTGACAGGCACAGGATGTGCCATCATGGAGCAGGGGTCTCAGGCATCCAGTTGTACCAGAGAGAGTTCGGGTCTTAGAGCTAAACTCAAACTACGCCCCCAGTCGCCGATGAGTCCCAGCCTGATGATCTCTCTAAGTCTCCACCGCCTCGTTTGTAAGGTCTTTATATTGCTGGGTTGGAGACTGGGGCGAGGGCACCTGTTCTCAGCCCGCCTCCTCATGGGACTCCCGGGATTCCTGCTCTAGCTAGGGCCCTCTATGGCAGATGTCACCGTGAGCACCCTCGCCTTCCTCCCCCACCCAGACGTGATAGGATGCTTCCTCCAGCCAGCCGGGATCGTCCCTGCAACTGGAAAGGAGCAGTGGGCTTGAGCCCTCGCCTCCCGGTGCGAGCTGAGGCATGGCCGGGCCTTTCCCTGGCTGACAGGTGAGGAGTGCGTGCCCTGTGCAGGACAGCCTGGCCCTAGACTCGGGGCGGGGTCCTGCCGTGTCCACCCACAGCTGCACACATGAGCAGCGGCTGTTCCCAGCAGTGTTCATCATGTTCCCCTGAGGCCTTGCCCTTGCTCTGTCCAGCCCCTGAAGACCCCGCTGGCACAATTCTCCCTGCCCCCCAGTCAGGCCAGTGCCGAATGGCACCAACGGCCACACAAGCTGACGTCACGGGTCTGGGCCAACCCAGAGGTTCCCAGGCTGCCCAGGGCCCTGTTTGCAGCCGCAGGGTTTGGCTCCCCATTCGCCACATGCATGCACGCCTTCACGAGGGCTCCATTGGATCTTCCCTTGTTCCCTGCTTCCTTCAAAGCGGGGCCACTCCTTCGTGGGGGATTAGAGGCAATGAAATGGGGAAACCCGAAGTGGGAGTGGAGCGGATCCTAGGAGGCAATGCTCTGGTCAGAACAAAGAAGTCTCATCAATGGCCTGGGTGGGGCCTCCGCAGTGTTGGGCAAGAAGCCCCAGGCCTGAACAGTGTTGGTCCAGGAAGTGATCCCCTGCCCCTACCACTGATGCTGGGGCTTGGAGCCCTTCAGGGCATTCGGAACCATCGCCCTGGTCTGATTAACAGCCCGAGCTGTACAGGCTCTACCAGGGGAGGAGTGCAAGTGCCCAGATGTTTCAGATCCAGAGACCGAGGCAAGGGGCCCTGCTGACAGACTTCGACCAGGGGAGGAGGGTGGTGGTGTTTGAGCAGCTATGACTCTGACCACGGCCAGCGAGGGTCCCTTTGAGAAATAAAAGGGGACAAAAACAAAAGGAGCCAGTGTGGCTACACCAGAAGCTTGGTGTCCTGACAAAGGCTGCATGGAAATCCACTTTTAGAAATTTCTCCTGCTGGGTCTGGCATAGTGATGCAGTGGGTTAAGCTGTCACCTGCTACACCAGCATCCCATGTCTGAGTGCTAGTTCCACTCCTTGCTGCCTCAGTTTCCAATCCAGCTCCTTGCTAGTGCACCTGGGAAGGCAGAGGAAGCTGGCCCAAGTGCTTGGGTCCCTGCCACCCATGTGGGAGACCCAGATGGAGCTCCTGGCTCCTGGCTTCCGCCTGGCCCAGCCCCTGCTGTTGCTGTGGCAGTGAAGCAGCAGATGGAAGCCTCTCTCTCTCTCTCTCTCCCTCCCTCCCTCTCCCTCTCTCTCTCTCTTTCAAATAAATATATATTTAAAGAAAGATCTTTCTTCTGCACTTGCACATACGTGGTGTGCCGTGTGCAGGGGCTCATTGCTGTTTGGAATGTCAGTGTGTTGGAAACATCGTACGTGCCCATCCGCAGGGGACTGGTTCAACACATAATGGCCCAACCACATTGGGAGTGTATACTGTGAAAATGGATAAGTACATTATGCATTGATCTCAGAGAGCTCCAAGATATATCATTGACTGAAAAATGAAGACATAAAACAGTGTAAGCTTTATTCCTGCAATTGTGTTTTTTTCACAGGGATTGGAGCAGCCAGCACTCGTCCTCCTTCCTTCAGGACTCCAACTCAGAGCCTGCCTCTTCCAAGAAACTCGCTCTGTTAAGCCTCCAGAGCCCTGCCCTGCACAACTCAAGGAGACAGACTGATCTCCAGGTGAAGACCACCTGGCCTGTGGTCTCTAATTCTCCTTTGCCCCTATAGCTCCAGTGCAGCCCTCAGATGGTCAGCTCTGGCCAAGGCCCCAGAGCGACCAGGCTGGCCAGGCTGCCTGTGAGGGAGACAGTGGAGCAGAGAAGACCTAGGCCCTGCCTGGGAAGCCCCGAGTCGGCAGGTGGCAAAGCCTCACCCGCCATCACAGTGCTTTAGCAGGTGCAAAGGCCATCCCCACCTAGGCAGAGAGGAGAATGCATATTCTCCCTGGCGTTCAGAGCACACGGAGGCTCAGGGCAGGGCAGAGGCACAAACCGATGCCCTCTGGGTGGCCTAAGAGCCCCCTCATTCTGTAAAACACTGCATGCTATACTGTCATCCACCGGTGTTGGACTTCTCTGGGCTGGGGCAGTGTCTGATTCACCTCTGAGTCCTCCACTGGGAAGCAGAACAGGGCCTGGCACAACCTAAGAGTCAGGAATGAAGGGCAGAGAAAGAAAAGGATGTGGCCACGTGCGGGGTCTGGGACTTGACCCTAGGTCTTCTGCCCCAGCCTAGCCCCCTTCCTCTGTTTCTCCTGTATGGAGTAGATGAGTTTTCTGTACCCGCAGCCCCCTCCCATGCCCCTCTGCAGTGGGGCAGCTACTTAGGACTTAAGATTTGGGAGGGCTTCTCAGAGGCGGCGGGAAGTGCAGCCAGCCTTCTTCTTGCGCACCAGATGCGGGAGCTCCCGGCTAGAACCAGCCCTTACCAGCCACCGGAGGCTCCCCACCAGCCCAGATAGATCCAAATGGATCTGGGCTTCCTTCCAGTGTTTTCCTACATACAAGATGGCCAATAGGTGGCGCCTTTGTCACCCCAAAAATTGATGGCTGAGAAAGACAGTTGGCGTAGTACAGGGAAAGAGGGAGGGAGAAGGTGGAAAAGGGGTTCATGGAGAAAGGAAGCCCAAGGCCTGTCACTGGGCTTGGAAGTCAGGACTGTGGGAGGGAGGGCGTGTGCGGTGAGCTGAGGGCTGCACTGGGGCCTCTTCCAGCCAAGCTTGCACTTCCACTTGCCTCTTCCCCAGGCGAAGGAGAATAACTTTGGAGTCAGGCATACTTTGGGGTCTCCCTCTAGCCTGAGCTGGGAGATCCCCAGTTTCATCATCTATATGGGTGATGATCTATAGCGCTTAGAAACGGGAGATAGCAGTTCTAATGTCACCTTTGCATTCCAGGAATAAGCTGTACTGGCTTATGCATCTCTAAAACACTACCAGATTTAGTTTGCTGAATCGTTCTTGAGGAGCTTAGCGTCTTCTTGCATATGTTTCATTCTCTATGTTGATAGCTGAGTAGATATAAATGGGATGACAGCTGTGTCCTGTGTCCCAGGACAGTTTCTACAGCTAGAGAAATAGGTCTCTGGGTGGCTTGATAGAATTCCCCGGAAAAGCAGCTGGCCTAGGTGCGCTGTGGTGGGAGCAGTGGAGGACTCCTGTCCCTAATGTGCTAATTGGTCTACTGAGATTAATTAGTCCTTGAATCAGGCATGCCAGATTTTCAGGGTCAGCATGAGGCTATGACCAAATGGGAAAGGTTGTAGCCACGGTGGATTAGGAGGATTTTAACCGGTGGCTGGTTCTTTCTATAGTTTCATATGACTGCTTTTTTCCCCACCCCCTCCAAGCCACCATCCTTTCCTGCCTGGAAACCTCAGGCTTTTAACTGGTTTCCCTACCCTACCCCACGGCCTCTGGTTCCATCTCCGTGGCATATTTAGGGCTATGAAATTTCCTCTGAGCACAAGTTTGGCTACATCCTATGGTTTTAATTTAACGTACAGTTTTGATCTTTTAATTTATTACTAGTCTGTTATGTCAGCTTTCTCCTAACCAAAGTTACTTATTTAAAAGAGTATTTACAAATTTTCCATTGCTTAGTTTGAAGTATAGTCAAAGAATATATTCTTATACATGTAGGAGTTCATGAACAAAATCAATGTAGTTTTCACCGCAATAATCATCTTTAGCACATTCGTCTAAACATATTCTGAGTCACCAGGTGACCCCCTGATAACAGAGACCTGATGTTTAAAGGTCTTCATTTGTGTTTCTTTTCAAGTCATGCTGCTTTAATCCTGAGATGGAGCAAAAAAATGTATATTTTATAAGCGAAATGCTGCATTTGCGCTACATAAAGAAGTCCTTGCCTTTGTTCAGAGGAAGGAAATGGTGAGTGGGGTGAGCACTTGGTTCAGCTGTTAGGTGCCCTCTTGGGATGCCCACATCCATACAGGAGTGCCCGGTTCCAGTCCCAGCTGTGCTTCCAATCCAGCCTCTTCTAATGTGCACCCTTGGAGGCAGCTGGCTCAAGTGTTTGGACCCCTGCCTCCGACATGGGACACTGAGATTGGGTTCCAGGCACCTGGCTGCTACCTGACCACTGCAGTCCCAGCTGTTGCAGATGTTTGGGAAGCGAGCCAGTAAGTGACACATTCTCTCTCTCTCTCTCTCAATAAACGTGATAATAAATAAATAAAAAGTTTTTTTTTCAAATGGTGAATAAATGTAGTCATTACGTGGTTCAAGGCAACCAAACTCGAAAGACTGCAGAAAATCAGGGTCCCGTACACAGCGCAATGAATTTGTTTCAGCAAAACCATATCTTCTTTTATGTTTGATTCATGTTACGTATTTGAGTTTTCTATTTTGTTGCTCTGTTTGAATTTAGTTTATAAAATATTTTCATTTACAGTTACACAAGAAACCAAGCCTGAGAAATTCATAATTTATATCTGCCCAAACTGACATTATGGTAAGTTAAAGTCAGGTTGGAGGCCCACAGAATGTTTTTCCTTTAAAAGTAGATCACACTGGGGCAGGCATTAGAGGGGTTAAGACACCACTTGTTGAGGGGGGCAGTGTTGAGGTACAACGTGTTAAGCTACCTCATGCAGCGCTGGCATCTCCTATGAGCACCAACTAGAGTTCTAACTGCTCCACTTCTGATCCAGCTCCCTAGAAAGCAACAGAAGATATCCCAAGTGCTTGGGCCTCTGCCATCCATGTGAGAGACCTGGATGGAGTTCCAGGCCTCTGGCTTTGGCCTGACCTAGCCCCAGCCAATGTGACCATATGCAAAGTGAACCAGCAAATTGGAAAATTTCTCCCTTTCTCTCTCTCCCCAACTCCCCCTCCCTCTCCATATTACTCTGCTTTTCAAATAAATAAGCGACAATAAACACCACTTGGGATATCCACATCCCTTATCAGAATGCTGGGTTTGAGTCCCAGCTCCACTTAGGAGTCCAGCTTCCTGCTAATTTTATCCACCCTGGGATGCTGCAGGTAACGACTCAAGTATCTGCATCCCTACTACCTATATGAGAGATCCAGACTGAGTTCTGGGTTCCTGGCTTCAGCCCGGCTTAGCCCCAGCTTTTGTGGGCATTTGAGGAGTGAACCAGCAGATGGAAGATGTCTCTGTCTCAAATAAAACGAAAATTTTTAAAACACATTTAAAATGGACCCTATTAGCCTCCTGTGTATCCTCCTTCCCCTACCCCCGTATTCCTAGGACTTCCCAGAGAGCTGCTTCACATGGAGGGTCACAGTCGAGGGTCCCCATGTTGCTCTTTGCTCTTTCCCTGGTATTTACCTGCCTCCCCAGGGGATGCCCAGAGCTCTGACAGCTGTCATCGTACCCAGTCTCCATCCAAGTGTCACCTTCCTATGCACCTAATCCAAGTGCCGGGGTAATGCTGGCTCCTTCTTTGAGCTGGATCCGGGAGGCCCTCAAACCAGCTAATGAGCAGCGTGGGCCCAAAGCCACCCTTCCTGTGTCCCAAGCGCCCACAAGCCAGGGAGAGCCCTTGCCTAAGGCTTCCCAGTGCTCCATCTCCTCTGAAGAACCCTCGATGGCTCCCCTGCCTCCTCTCCTGCCAACACCCACCCCTCACTTGCACAACACAGCCACCTTGCCAGCTTTCCCACCCCCAGCTCACTTCCCAAATAGAAGTCTGACTCAACAACTTCATTGTCAGGGTGCCTGCTTGGCTTCTCATGCTGAAATAGTCATCTCAATTTTAGATGAGCAAAATTTCCCAAAAGCTTTTCCTCAGCTGAAACATGGGAATAAACCAAGAAAAAGGAGGACACAGAATACAGGAGCAGGAAATCCTCACAGGAAGGGAACAGAGGACTCCCGGGACAACAGACAAGGAAGTTCCAGCTCCCCACGTGCGCAGTGGAGGTGCAGCCGTCTGTCCAGGTGAGAGCTGGAAGCTGATGACTCCGAGGGGATGCTCCCAGAAAGGGAAACACAGCCACCAAACCCAGTGCCGTATTTCCTGAGAAGTGACCTCATGAAAAACTGAACCACAGTGCTACTGGCAGGTATGGGAAGATTTAGCCGTAGGTAAAAAGGGAATGGAACAAAGGAAAACATAAGGCATTATTAACTCCAGGAAAAAACAAAAGTTGCGTTTAAAAAATGAATTTTCGGGACCAGCACTGTAGTGAATTGGGCAAAGCCGCTGCCTGCAGTGCCGGCATCCTATATGGGCACTGGTTCAAGTCCCGGCTGCTCCACTTCTGATCCAGCTCTCTCTCTACTATGGCCTGGGAAAGCAATAGAAGATGGCCCAAGTCCTTGGGCCCCTGCACCCGCCTGGGAGACTCTGAAGAAGCTCCTGGATTTGGATTGGCTCAGCTCCAGCTGTTGCAGCCAACTGGGGAGTGAACCAGCAGATGGAAGACCTCTCTCTGCCTCTCCTTCTCTGTGTAACTCTGACTTTCAAATAAAAAAATAAATCTTTAAAAATGAATTTTAATCATAGTACACTAGTAGCTTATCTAATAACAGTTTTTATAGAATATTATAAATACCAAAATCTAATTTAATGGAAAGTTGGTGATTTGGGTGAAAATGGGAGGAAATAAGAGTTTTTAAGGAAAATGATCATATATCATAATAGAAGTTAATCATCACTGTTTCGGCTGGCGCCGCGGCTCACTAGGCTAATCCTCCGCCTATCGGCGCCGGCACACCAGGTTCTAGTCCCGGTCGGGGCGCCGGATTCTGTCCCGGTTGCCCCTCTTCTAGGCCAGCTCTCTGCTGTGGCCAGGGAGTGCAGTGGAGGATGGCCCAGGTGCTTGGGCCCTGCACCCCATGGGAGACCAGGAAAAGCACCTGGCTCCTGGCTCCTGCCATCGGATCAGCGCGGTGCGCCGGCCGCAGCGCGCTGGCCGCGGCGGCCATTGGAGGGTGAACCAACGGCAAAGGAAGACCTTTCTCTCTGTCTCTCTCTCTCACTGTCCACTCTGCCTGTCAAAAAAAAAAAAAAAAAAAGAAGAAGAAGAAGTTAATCATCACTGTTTCAAGAGAAACACAAGCATGGAAATAATGGGAATATTTACCCAAAGCAGCAAATATGAATCAAAAGGAGGTGCTGTAGGGGACACAGAAGGGATCCTGACGGTGGGGCAAGGCACCACCATCAGCCTGTGGTTGCTCTCTGACTTCCACTTTTGTCAATCCCATACAGCTAAAAGCAAAGCAAAGCCGATGTCCAGGTTTCCACAGTATAAAGAGGGGAAGTGTATGTTTATTTCTAAAGCTTCCAATCAGATTATCGTCTCCCCAAAAGGGGGGAGAATAATGCTAAAATCTCACTTCTAGATAAAAAGCGCTTGGTCATTTAGAGTTGGATTAAGTTTTCGTTTTGTTTGTTTCAACATCTGCCAAATTGTCAAATTCTTAGGACATTCTGGGATCTGTAGGAGAGTAGGAACCCTTGGAAAGCATAAAGAGTACTGTGTTGTATCTGTACTGGCTGCAGGATCCAGCACAGAGCCAAACACAGAGGATGCTGTTAAATAAAGGAACATTGAGGAGGCATTCTAAAAATCAATCTACCTGGCGTTCCAGTTCAGCACTGACCTTCCTAGTATCTCCCTACAGATATTTTCCTACCCCATCCTCCACGCGTTCCATGATCCTGGGGACCAAGACCTGCAGGGTGGTGGCAAGGATGGAATTCAGAACTCAGGAAGTGGCTTCGGGGAAGTGAGAAGGGCCCGACCTTTCCTCGGAAGTTTCTTGGATTTGGAAGAAATTTATCAGGCAGGAGTGGCTCTAACCCCATTTGGACAGAACTAAGCTGGCATTTAAACAAAATTTGTATCCATTTGTTTATTATTTGAAAGGCAGATAGTTCCCATCTGGTGTTTCACTCTACAGGTGACTGCAACAGCCAGCGCTGGAGCAGGCCCAAGTCGGGAACGCCGAAGTCCACCTCCAACGGTGCACATTCGCAGGAAGCTGGCATGGGAAGTGGAGCTGGGACTCAAAACCAAACTTCCATAAGGAATGCAGGCTTCCCAAGTGAAGTCGTGGCCACTGTACCAAACACCTCCAAAACAGGCATTTTGATGTTGGTGCAGCTCTGCTTCTTAGAGAACTCTGGCTGGACTGTCTACTACCTGCTGGGTCCAGGGAGGGGCGGGTAGTTTTCTGAACGTGAATGTGGGGGAGTAACCTCCAGTACCACCCCTCAACTCTTGTCAGCTTGTCACAGAACACCGTGAGGATTTCAGGTGAGAATGGAAAAGGCGCCAAAGTGCCACCCAGTCAGCCACTGTTCCACAGGCCAAGGGTTTGGGGGTTTGCGTTTGTTCATTCCATCAGTCAGCAAGTATTAAGTGGAGGGCAAATTCAATCTGACCCTTGCTCAAAGGGGTTAATAGCTGGGGGCGGGGGTCCTACCCAGGGCACCTGCTATGCACTGTGCATGCCTGTCACCTTCTTAGGTTGCCCACTCCACCTCCTCACCCTCGGTCACCACCCCAGAGCTCCAAACCGTGCCAGCTGTCAGAGGAGCATCCGGCACGCCTATCAAATCCCATTCACATGGAGTTCAAGACACACGGGGCTCCTCCCCTGTCCTTCTCTACCCCTAATCCAGGCTCAGACTGGGAGCTTTGGGATGGGCGAGGGGCTGATGCTTAGTGGTTAAGTGAGCACCAGGGAGCAGAACAGGGTCAGAGGTCAACTCCCCGCCCACACCTCAGCGAGACTCTGTCCTTGGTGCTGGGTTCAGTCATGAGTCAGCTCAGTCTGCTGCCCAAGCAAGGGAAGGTGGGGGGGGTGGGGGCAGAGTGGGCGGGGCAGTGTCCAGCTCCAGAAGTTCAGAGGGAGTGGTGTGGTCTAGTGGCCATCCCAGTCCTCACAACTGGGAGCTTTAAGCCTGTAGCCCGAGCCCCCACCTGAGCCCGGGGCCTTCCTACCCTGTATTAAAATGCAGGAGCTGAGGTGGGGTGTGAGAGCTTGCCTTTGCAATGCGCCCCAGGGGATGCTGTAGCTCCAGAGACTGCACTTGGAAGGCAAGGCTGTAGAACGTTTATCTCATTGCTCTAAGCACTAACAACTGCACTAACGTCTTTTCTCCATTGCTGCAGAAACTCCGGGAGGCAGGAACTTCACCCAGTGGTTCAGTGATGTATGCACTGTGCCCAGCACCATGAGTGGCACATTAACTCTGTGCTTGTTGGGGATGGGGGAGGGAATCAGGACCCATGCCACCTTCTCTGCAGGAGGTGGGAGGAATCCCAAATAGCAGGCACCCCTGCTGCCACACTACTCAGATGCCACACATGTGCCATCTCCTCTCTGCCAGGAGTGCAGGGATCGCATTTGACTGGTCCTACTATGCACAGGGTTACAGCTGACTCTCTTCCTAAATCCACTTCTTGAACCTCTGTCTGATGGCTCACAAGAGAATTCCCCACCCCTGCCGCGTGCATTGTGACACCACCCAGGATCCAAAGCTCACCCACTATCCCCCAAAGTCACCCTCTCAAGTCACCAGCAAGCACACCAAGCCCAGAGAAAGGTTTCTTTCTTTTTAATTAAACCAGTGTTAATTAAAAAATAATAACCCAATAAGGCCTACGTTTTCCGGGGGTGTAGGGGGGGAGCAGGCAGACATAAATCCCCCCCAACACTCCATTTAGTCAGGGAGCCCCTGGCGCTGCGCGTCTCAGCCATCTCCTCAGCTGGGGTGGGGGGCACCAGGGCAGCCAGGTGTTGGAAGGGGCGGGTGCTCCAAGCAAGAAACAGGACAAACTCGTGGGGAGGCAGGTAAGGCCGTGGGAGGATGAGAGGAGCTGGGTGAAGCAGAGTCGTAGAGCACAGGGCTTCCGAGCGAAGGTGTGGCTCCCAGGCGCTGGGCACTCGCCGGGAAACCCGGGGCTGGGGCTCCCTGGCCGTGGCCCAGCTCCGAGGCGGTGGGACCCGTGGACAGCCACGTGGGAGTGCAGAGATGAGGGCTCGCGAGGGGAGGGCGTGGGACAGCCACCGGGGGCTCCCACATCACGGGGTCGTTTGGGGCACGTGATGCGAGGGTGACCGTCTTCCCAGGGGTGGGCACGGACGAGGTCTTAGTGGGTGCGCTCGAGCTAGACTGGGGACTGGGAGGTGGGCTCCAAGCCGGCGTGGGGAAGGCGGCGATGGCAGCGTCCGGTCCTGGGGGGAGGTGGAGTCCTGGCGAAGGCTCACAGGTAGCGCTCCAGCCCCGGCGCGAAGCCCGGCTGCCTGAGGTACGCCTCCCCGGGGCTGAGCGGGCCCAGCGCACCTGCCGGCCCGGCCAAAGCCAGGAGGGGCTCGGCGGGCAGCGGGCCCGGGCCGGGGCGCGTCGGGGGCAGCCCCAGGCGGTCGGGCGCCTGCGAGTAGAGCGGCGGGGAGGCGGCGGCGCAGGGCGGGAAGGCGGCGGCGGCGGCGTCGGGCGCGGCCAGCTCCGGCTGCAGGCTCACCAGGCTGTCGACGCTGAAGAGGCGCGCGGGCGGCGCGGGGCCCGGGGCGGCCGGGGGCGGTGGCGCCAGCAGCCCGGGACCCGGCGCGGGCGCGTAGGGCGCGTAGGGGAAGGGCAGCGGCGGCCCCGGCGGCGCGGGCGCGGGCGCGGGCAGCTCGGCGCGCTTGAAGCGCTTGCGGCGCCGCAGGAAGCTGCCGTTGTCGAACATGTCGGCGGCCGCGGGGTCGAGCGTCCAGTAGTTGCCCTTGCCCGGGTTGCCCGGCTCGCGCGGCACCTTGACGAAGCAGTCGTTGAGCGTGAGGTTGTGGCGGATGCTGTTCTGCCACTTGCGCGGGCTGTCGCGGTAGAAGGCGAAGCGCTCGGTGATGAAGCGGTAGATGGCGGCCAGCGTGAGGCGGCGGCCCGGGGCGTGCGCCAGCGCCATGGCAATGAGCGCGATGTACGAGTAGGGCGGCTTCCCGCGCTGCAGGGGCCGCCGCCGCCGCCGCCCTGGGCCCGGCGCGGGGCCCGGCTCCGCCTCCCCGCGGCCCGCAGCCGCCTCCTCGGGCTCCCGTCCCGGCTCTGCGCCGGCCAGCGGCGACGGCGGCGGCCCCGACGGCGCGACCGAGGGCAGCGCCGGGAAGCCCGAGAAGGCGGCGGGCGGATCCATGTCGCTGCGCCCAGCCGTCGGGACGCGGGCTCCCGTGCCTGCGCGCCTGCAAGGGCCAGGGGCCGCCGACCCGCCTTATATGGACACCTCCCCCCCACCGCCACCGTCGCAGCCGCCGGGGGACAGGGCTCCGACCTTCCCTGCGGCCAGCGCCTCCCCTCCGTTTGGCTTTCCCGCCCCTGCTGGAGCACGCAGGACCCCCTCCTGCGCTTGGCCCCTCCCTCGCTCTCGTCCCTTTAGGCCAATTCCCCCCATAGACCCAGCCTCACCATCTCTATTGAGTCGCGCCCTGGCCCCGGCCCCAGCCTCCTTCCCTGCCCACCCCTCCCTAGCCCCTCTCGCTGTGGGTCCGTCCCAGCCGCAAATCCACCCATTCAGCGCCCTGCCCTGGCCCCCTCCCCATTTTGCCCCTCCCAGTAGCCGGTCCAGTCCATCCTCCTCCCGGTCTTGTGCCCCCAGCTGGAACGGAGCCGTGGGCCGCCTTGGCAGCTCTCGGTGTCCAGGCTGTGTGACTGGCCACCGTGGGAAGTTAGGGAACCGGGCGGGGCCAGGTAATGGAGACTAGGGGGTGGGGGGCAGATCCTAGTCTCAGGGGAGGATGGAGCAGGGCTGTGAGCATAGAGAGGCCAGTGAAGGGCCTACATGGTATGCTGAAGGAGTCTAACAAGGGCAAGGTCAGCATTTGAGAGCCAGGCCTCCTTGAAGTTGGGGCCCTGGTGCCTCCCTTTTGCCCCACCCCAGTCCAGCCGGGGTGGCAGGCCCCTCCCTGCAGCTCCCACAGTGGCATCCTGGAGCTCGAAGGTCCCTCTCTGAGCTCCAAGCTCGCTGCTAACATCACCCCTGCTGCTGAGCAAGTGCAGGGAGTGTGCTCATCTCCATCTTGCAGGTGAGGAGAGTCCGGCTCACAGCTTCACGCAGCCAAGCAGTAAGCGGCGGAGCTGCAGTTAAGCCTGGAGCTCAGAGCACGGGTACGCACACTCTGCCAAAAGCACTCTGTTTGAAAGCCGAGAACTCTAGAAATCATTGCTTCAGGGTTCCTGCAGCTCCCACGACCTCAGCGGCCAAAGTGGATTCTGGGCCAGTCTCCCAACCTGCTGGGCGGCATACCCTCCAGACATCGCCAAGTGGGTCTCTCCAGGCGTGGCGGACCTAGCTGTTGTGGATGAAGCACAGCTCTCCCCCCACCCCCGTACCCCCTGCAGCCCCAGCTGCCCCCACCCCTTTGGCATTTGGAGTTAAGCAAGCATAGCTCCCCCTCTCTTCCACTCTGCTCCCTACATCCAGGCAGCGGCTAGGTCCTGTCAGTGCCTCGCGGATCCAGGCCCAGCCCTCCTTCCGCTCCCCTGGCCACATCACTCTTCAGGCACTTCTGGGCCCGGTCCTTTGCTAGTCTCAGGGCAGGAAGGTGTAGTCGATGAGACCCACAATCTGGTGGAGGGGTGGGCGATTACAAGCTACGAGAAGTGGGCAGGAGGCTGTGCAAGCAGAGAAGGAGATTCTATTCAAACAGGGCTGGACCCTCACCACCTTGCCTTCTCCCACAGGAGCACAGGCCACGCCCAACACAAGAAGGCTTGCGAGCAGCTGCAGTAGCGGGACCCTGGCTCCCAGGCCACGGAGACCCATTTGAGCCTCCATTTCCTTGCCTGCCAGCCCAGCACAAGCAACAGTGTCTCCTCTGGGCCTTGTTAGGAGACTCAGATGATACCATGGAGCAAAGCGCCAGTCCACACTGGTGCTCGGTGAGAGGTGCTTGTTTGTCCTGCTGCACAGTGGCCACTTCCAGGACCAACTCGGCCAGGGAAGGAGCGAGGCAGAGCCGGAGCAGTGACTTCAGAGCCTGCTGCGTTTTCACAGCAGGTGCAGCCTAATTCTTGAGCTGGACTAGGCATGGAGCCAGAGCTGATGGGGGTTCAGCCACTGCCTTCCCCACCTTCCTTTAGGGATGGAGAACCTGGGAAACCCCTACTGTAACCTCTGTCTCACCCCTCCAGGGAGTAAAGGGTCCCAGGGAAAAGTGACTCTTGCCACCTGCCTTGGCCACTGCACTTTTTCCTGTACTTCTCTCTTTTCTGGCCCATGTCTCCCTCCTGGGACGTAGTACATGTTCAATAAATGGTACCCAATGTGTGGTTGGCTGTGCTAATCCTGGGGAGGGGGGAGTGGGGAGCTGGGCCAAGGGGTGAGAACCCAGACTTTTGGAGTTCTTTGTGCCTGTCTGGCCCCCTCCATTGGGCCTGCTTCCCGGAGCCAAGCAGGCCTGTGTCAGGGGGCGGCCCAAGGGCTAATCCGTGTTTTCAGCGTGGCTGGGCCCTCTTTTCACAGGCCCTGGGCCGGACGTGATGCGGCTGAGCATCCGGGCATAAGATGGCCAGTGAAGGCGGCCCCTTTCTCATGGGCCTGGATTCCAGGCGGCCCAGCGTCTGAGTGGAGCCCCTGGGGCGGGAGGAACACAGTGGCTGGGCCGGGCAGGCCTTTGTCTGACCACACTGGGTGGATATTCGGGCTGGCAGGAGGGATTAATGGCCAGGGATTGGCCCTGGGGCCGGCCTTCCCACTGCCCTTTGGAGGCCAAAGGCCCAGGTCAGGGCATACAGCGTTGATGGCTCTCTAGATAGGAGTGGAAATTCCCACCCTTGTCCAGAGCCATCAGCACTAGCCCCCGGGGACCTCCTGCCCCCACCCTAGCTCTGCAGAGGCTCCGCCAGCCGTGACTTCAAGGCGAGAAGCGGAGGGTAGGGGCCAGAGCTTCCCAAGGGCTCTGCCTAAGAGTGTGGGCCTGGCTGGAAGTCATCTCAGGTCCTTGTGCCAAGATTCCCAGCCCCTGGGAGGGTCCCGTGGTGGTTCCTCCCGAGCGCTGGGGAGAGCGAGTCATGTTAACCCAGTGAGAGCTCCAGGGGCCGACCTGACCTGTCACCAGGCCCACAAGGCTCCCTGGAACAGTCTTCAAACAGCTCTAGTTTGAGACTGTCCCACTTATTTAATTCTTTTTAAAGCCCACGTCACAGAGGCTGCGGAAGTGGCTCAGGAGCAGAAGGAAATCCGAGACCCCCTCAGCACCGCCTCCCACCACCCAGGGGTCCTGAGGGCTGCCACAGGGCTTCCTCCCCCTTGCCCCAAACCAGGGCTGCCCAGGGTTTGAAGCGGGCAGTTCCCACCCAGCTGGGGGGCACTGGGGACCCCACTCTAGCCAGGCCTGTTCTCACCAGGGTGCTCCTGGACTGGAGAGGAAGGCAGCGGCCCAGCCTGACCCGCAGGACCCAATGGCACACGGGCCCGAGCCAGACCCGGGGAAGGACACAAGCGCCGGCCTGGCTGTGGGAGCACCAGGGAGGAGCCCAGCGGGAGGAGGACCCTGTCCACGTCTTCGTTCCTCGGGCTCTTTCCTTCAGCACGTCCTAAGGAGCCCAGGCAGGCCGCCCTGGGTGCTGAGTCCGTGCTGTCGCACTGTTCTTGCCCGCTTGGCATAGGACGCGGGCAGAGCAGGGTCGCAGGTGCCCAGAGCGGGGGCTCCCTGAACCTGACAGAGTTGTGAAGGTTACCAGGAGGGTAGAAGGCTCCAGGCTGGGCTGGGGACCCATCACCTGTGCCCCACAGCACCCTTAACCCTGCACTTACCCTATTGTGCTCTCACCATCCCTCGCTGTCTGTCTCCCCCAGTAGATTGTGTGTGCATGGAGGGCATTACCATTCCTCACTCAGTTTTAGATCCCTGCCACTTAATACAGTGCCTAGCACAGGCTGATGGATCAACAACTATGTATCAGAGCAGAAAACAGCAGGGCCAGAAAACTCAAACGTCTGTAGACGGCAAGGGCACAGAGTCTAAGACTTTCAGTGTTTTCTGAGAATTCCACGAGCTAATATGTGTGACGTTCTCCAGGCACTGCCCAGCACGGCTCTGTGCTGTGTAACCAGAGCCTCTTGGCTCTGCTGTGACTCAGTTCTCACTATGACTAGCTATCATAGAGTAGCAAAGGCCTGAGACGAGGCAGGCAGACAGGATCAGATTGTAGATGACTATTTTTGGCAGGCTAAGGGGCTTGGACCTTTTTAGAGACAATAGGGAGAACTTTTCAGTGGGGTGGGGAGGGGGACACGGTGAGGTGTCCCATTCAGATTACTCTGTCCACACTCCCCACCAAGAGATGGGTGAAGCTAGCAGCTGAGAGAGCAGGTGGTGGGGCTGACCCTGTGATGAGGAGTGCACCAGGGCTGTGGCTCCAGAAACCAGCAGACAGCCCATTCCTATCCACTGCAGACCAGGATGCAGAAAGCACCTCCCGCTGTCCATCTCAAATGGTGGCTCAAACACTGACTTTCTGGGTGGGTGTTGTGGCCCCGAGGGGGAAGCTGCCACTTGGAGCACCCATGTCGTGTATCAGAGCGCCAGTTCAAGCCCCAGCTACTCTGCTCTCAGCCAGCTTCCTGCTAATGCACTGGAGAAGGCAGCAGATAATGGTCTAAGCTTGGGGCCCTGCCACCCTAAGGGGAGACTCGGAGCTCCAGGCTCCTGGCTTCAGCCTGGTCCAGCCTCTACTATTTTGGGGAGTGAGGCAGCAGATGGAAGATTCTCTCTCTCTCCCCCTAATTGTATCTGTATCTCTATCTGTATCTCTCTCTCTCTCTGTCACTCTACCTTTCAAATGAAGAAATGAACCTTTTAAAGAACGTCACTGACTTGGTGGGGGTGGGGCCTCTGACGGAGCAGTTAAGAGGCAGAGGGAGAAGCCTGCGTGCCCGCACACCACATTGGAATACTTGGGTTGGATTCCCAGCTCCCAGCTTCTGATTCGAGCTTCCTGCTAAAGCAGACCGTGAAGGGCAGCGCTGATGGCTCAAGTATTCAGGTCCCTCCCACCCACTCGGGAGACCTGGACTGAGCTCCCAGCTCCTGGCTCAGCGCCCTGGCCACGGTGGGCATTTGGAGGAGTGAATTCGCAGATGGGGGGCTCTCTGTCTGTCTCTCAAGTAACAACAACAACAAAAATCTAAAAACGCATCAAGTTACATGCTCCAGAAACCAGCATCTTCCCCATATTCTCTCTCTCTCTCTCTCTCTGTCTTCTCTCTCTCTCTCTCTCTCTCTCTCTCCCCACCTCCAGTGGCTGAGACCTCAGTTCTCAGAACTCTCCCTCTTTTGGCCTCGAGCTCTCCCACCGCCGATGACGGCAGCCTCCTGGCTGTCTCCCTGTCTCCCCCTTGGATTTCTCGCGTATCCAAGCAGCTGGAGAAGTGCCTCATGGCAGCCCCTGCGCACACAGCTCCAGCGGCTTCCCTGGACCTCAGGGCAGGCAGGTGCTAAAGGACCCCACTGCCCCACTGCCCCGCTGCTCACCATGCCCGCCCTCTCTGCCCCCACCCCCCACCCCGGCAGCGCACACAGTACCCCGAGCCAAGTGGAGCCGCTTTCAGCCCAAGCGCCGGGTCTCCCTCCTCCCTCCCTGAGCGGTTGTAACCAAAATCAGCACAACCCAATTTGCCAGCTTTAGATACAAATACAGCGTCATCTGTTGGTCCAACCAGCCTCTCGATGCCCTAAGACCTTTATTAGCAATGAGTTCCATCTGTCCCTCTGCCAAAGTCCCACCTCCACGCTGTCAAGCAAATGACAAACACACAAGCCAACAAAAACCCCTGCGGGGTTTCCCATCCAAAGCCAGGGAGGAACGGATGGCGTCCGGCACTGGCCCCTCTGTCAGGAGGGCCCTTTCTTCCCTGACCTGCTAGTGCATTCCTGCCGCTCCCTCGGGAACCGCGCACACACATGAGAACCATTTTACCTTCTAGAAAAATTTCCCAATTTCTCCTTCCTTTCTCCTGCCCCAAGCAAAAGGCCTGCTCACACCTCTGGCCTGACCCGGCTCCCAGAGAACTTCAACAGGCTGCCTCTGGCCTCGGGACCAACAGGCTGTGGAGGCGGGGCCCTGCCCGCTTCATCCGCGGACGCCAGCACAGGTGCGCAGCCGTGCTGCACAGCAGGGACTTATTGAGCGCCTGCCTCGTTACCCTGCTGGATGAATGAATGAGCGGATGAGTGAGCGGATGACCACCAGTGCCTGGAAAGGCAAAAGCTCCCTGTGCCCGATTTCGAGCTGGGCTCTGACTCCTGCTTTCCCCATTTTTCTGCTCAGTTCTGTGGTTCTGTGGCCCTGGGCCGGGCCCGGACCCCCCACGCAGCTCAGACAATGTTGACTGAGCCCCGAGGACATAATTCCACCCACTCCTAAACCACCCCGCGGCATCTGAAGCATGCTCCGCGTCATTTCGGGTTGTCAGCCTTCTGAGACGGCCACCTCGCCCCATACCCTAGGCAATCTCAGGCCTCCCTGTTTCTCATTTCCAGAGAGCCAGAGGGGAGCGGTGCTGGCAACCAGGCTGGCTGAGCCAACGGAACCCAGGCTGCGGAGGAGGGAGTTCGAACCCTCCGCTCAGTGGCTGAGTGAGCTGAGGTGCGTCGCGTTGCCTGCCCGCCACGGCCCATGTCAGAGCCACAAGCCTCAAATGCCCGGAGAACTCCGGGACGCGCTAGGCCGCTGATTCCCGACCTCTGGGCCCCTCCGCCAGCCGCATCTGGAAGCCATGTGGCGCCGAGCGCTGGCTGTACACGGGATGCACAAAGGGTCTCCCACCAGCACAAACGTTCATGGATGTGGACGCTGCCGTGATGGATAAACACAGCCACATTTGAAAGCTTTGCTGGCATTTTTATTTTTGTCATGGTTTTTTAATCCATCGATGGAAACTAAAAGCATAAAATGGATACCATAAAATGGATACTAAACTGCTATCATATGGGAGTAGCTGGCTGGTGTTTCTTTAGTCCTTCTTAAGCTACTGCTAGAGCCCAATATTCGGCTTTGTGAGTTTCTGACACTGAGGTTGAGGGGAAGAGATTTGCCTGCAGTCCCAAAGCAAGTCGCTGCCGAACCAGGGAGGGGGCCTGGCGCTCGGACCCAGCACCCTCCGTCTGCGCGTGCGCCACACCCCATCCACACGCTGGACACCCGGAGGCCAAAGATGAAGGCCAAGGATCTCACCCTCTGAGGGAAGGTGGATGGTGGTTATGCAGGGAGAGAGACATTGAACAAAGACCTTATCCTAACTGCTAAAGCCGTGAGAGGGGCCGGCA